GATCCACATGTCACCAAGCTCTCTCTCTTTTTTTTTCTCTCTCTCTCTCTCTCTCTCTCTCTCTCTCTCTCTCTCTCACTCACTCATTGTACACTTTGGTCCTCATTAGTTGTGTGTCATGTCACTGACTGTCAATGAGCTCATGTCCCCTCCAACACCATCGTCCACCTCCCTCCCCACCCTGGCCTTGTTCCACCCCCAACCCCCCTCGATCCACTTTCGGACCCCTTCTTCTCCTTTTCACGGCCTTGCGCACAAACTTTCTTCGTCTCTCTCTTTGCCCGCACATTTGTCCACGGTGTGTGCAATGAACTCAAGGTCAAAATCATCATCTGTTGTAGTCATGTTATTGGCGTCTCCCCTCTACACAACAGGCAACCCAGCTCTGTACAATGCAACGACCTTGTCTGCAACAGAAACAGCACGGTCGAGCTTGAAGATACAAAAGCTCAAGACCGTGTCTCGGGAGCGGACCGATGCAGCGATCTCTTTTTTGATAGATGCAAGTTTCTGTATTTGGTCCGCTGCTTTACTGGTCTTTGTCGTCTGCTCGACTTCACTTTTCAGTACCAGCTCCGCAAATGCTAGTTGCTGCAACGTTACGCCAAGGTTGATGCCATCTCTTCTCATTTGAGAAACTTTTGTCAGTGTTGTCTTGAAAGGAGGAGCGCCTCACGGATCATTGCCTCTCCTTCTCCATGTTGTGTTCCCCTTCATCTCTGTCCGCATCCTGTTGCGAGTCAGAAGCTGGTGCTTCGTTTGAGCTGACCGGACCAGCGGCAGAACTTTTTCGGCCCAAAACCAATGCTTCAATTGCCATGATATCTCGCCTCGGACCGTTGTCATAATCCGATTGCATTCCCCGATCGCAACTCGGATTCCGTTCGTTGCCACGTGCAACCGTAGTCCTTCCTCCGCATGTTCTCCTATCAATTTGGCAGTTGTTTGCAGTGCCGTGAAAAAAATGTCCTCCGATGGGTACAGCGTCGCATCCTTTGCTGCAGAAAAAACAAAGGCCTTCGCCACTGAACGAAACAGTCTGTCTTTCATTTTCTTTGTAAAACACCCAGTTTGTTGCTTTGTTGGTTCGCCAACATTACCTCCACCTGTGCTGCTTCGCCTTTGCAAATTAGTGCAATCTGGGAAAAAAAATAAAACAAGACCAACAGATTAATGATTTAGTAATAAGAAGACCTTCCGCAATATGTATTTTATGTATTGCAATCAGAAACAAACATAAGAGTTTGTTCCAGTATCTCGCCACTCTCAGAACTTACACCCCACTCTCTATCCTACACCCAGTTAGTAGCACTGCATCAGAACAGCCTCCCAGAGGCAAGTGTCAACCACCCTGATGAAGAACAGGTCCTGCGATGAAGTCTTCAGTACCAATGGACAACTCTGACGAAGGAACAGGCAGCTATGGCTGCCACCACCCACAAACCACCACTGTAGAGTCTCAGTCCAGCCCGGCCATACGCAGATACCCCCAGGGGTAGATGCGTTGAGGATGCCTCAGCTATGGCAGACTCAAATGTGGCCGGCTATGGTTGCTGTCACCGTGCGTCTCAGGATGCCGCCTACAGACCAACACCGCCACCAACTTGCTTAGCTTCTCCAACGCTGTGTGGCGAGAAATGAACTCCCAAAAGTCCTGAACCGGTGGGCCTATCTTATCTATAGACTCTCTAGACCTAGACCGGACTGACTGACCGACCGGTACCGTTGTTGTTTCGGCCTCTCGGCCTCCACCGGACCCGACTATAGGCTATAGGACCGTCTAGCAGCATGGGCCACTTAGGGCTTGTCTGTCCTAGGGGCAGCCCGGGCCTGCTATAGGCAGTTAGGGTAGTTGTAGGAATCCAGTTAGTACCGGGCCTGTATTTTCCCGGATT